ACGAGTTTACATTGTATAAAGGAGTGATTACGCCATACACCATAGCAACCAAGCTAAAAAATGTACCTACTTATGTATTCCTACTTTTTATATGATGTATGGTTTGTAGGTACTTCAATCAGAACTATGATCAAAATATGATTTATCTACAAGTTAGACTAACAAAGAATGGATTAGTTATTTAGTTTTTTTTTTATACAAAAGATTGTAAAGAATTTGAGAATGCCTTTTTAAATAGAATCACATTTTTAACATAATTTATAGCTTCCAATCAGATCACAAGATCACGGGGCTGCACCACGTGACTATTAACTCCATGTTCAACACACACATTCTGCATAAATTCGCTTTACAACAGATAAGTACAAAATGATCTGAAATAATGGCGTTTCATAAGATGCAGACAAAACAAAAACCACGCACACAATGCTTCAAAATCTAGAGTTAGCGATAACTAATGTAGTAATCTGAATAATCTTCTGTAAGGCATACAATTATATCCTAACCTAACGTGTTTTGAGTCATCTAGGAATCATAATTAGGATATAAGTTAGCATGCATAGGTTATTATAACGTCTGGGGACGTGCAAAAACTCAAGGAATATTTGGTGGAGAAGGCTCTGTGCCCTCGGGCGGCGGCGGTTACATAAGTTCATCTATTTTCAAGGTCGAGGACATTGCTCCCAAATCGCTGATCGCGTCCTGCCGGCCAGTGGAGGGGAGCCTCCAACTGGCCAGTTTGGGCGTTCACTTCTTTTTTTCCTAATACCGTCTATTATACACCAGTTAGGTACTTTGGTCAAGTTTTTACATAACACACACAGGATTCGTAGTTGGGTGCTCGTCAAACTAAACATGATATGGAATTTTAATTACGCTTCTAGTTTTTTAATAAACTTTAATTTGAAAAAGTAAACAGAAGGGCAAATATTATTAGAGTTTCGTTTAAGAATGCATTGTCAACTGCTTTCTCTATAATCTAAACAATACAACATAAAAACTGTAACAATTAGGAGCGTTAGAAGAAGCGTTACAAGGACTTTTGTGTAAAATAGCTACTGTCGCAATAAATCAATGAGAAAGTCATCTAACAATTTACAACTTCTCCACCCTCGTGGTGGTCAGTAGCTAAACAATGAACAGAATCGAGAGCGCACCCCTTTCCTTTACAATCGACTACTGCGTAATAAAACTCTTTCTTCATTTTTTTCCACAACAAGTTAGGATGCGGGTTTTAAAATTGCTACCATTGTCCTAGTTTTAATCCTTTTTACAATCAAAGTATTTATTTTAATCTGTCCAATAAAAGTACCGCTGTCCTTAAACATGATACAACAACAATACATAGTTCAAAATCAAGAGTTTATGTCAAAAATGTAATCTAAAGCTTTTGTGATATTGCCGCAAAGGCGTGGCAATTACTAAAAACCTTCACAGATGTAAGTATTTTCTGCAAATGAAAAACGAAGGATACCAATCAATCACTTTAAAAATGTTCAAAACAAATGAATAAGCCGTTCCATCTTTTTTAAGTAAAACAAAATAACGTGAATACGAAGCATATTTTTTGTATTTCTCAAATTGCAAGTATTTTGTCGCAGGAAACATAAAAGTTTCTATGTCATTGTGTTTTTGTCATTGCAATGTGTGTTTGGGTGGAAAGGGACCGTTAGATTTTTTCACCATGCCATTATAACGGCCACCCTGTATAAAAAAACTTAAGGGTTCGGCAGGTAGAGCAAATCTTTTGATCGAAGCCTACGATTAACGCTGCGATTGAGCATAATAATGTGGATTTTTTATTCTTCAGATGTTCCAAATATCTGTAATGGGCCTTACGTAACTGTAAAAGGCCCATTTCATAAGTTCGAGCAGTTTGTTACCTCTTTGTTGTTTCTTTGATTGCGCCTGATAACTGCGGGACGGAAGACATATGGAACATTTATTGTTGTGACTTACTGTATACCGTATACTTTTGTATATTTTAAATTTATGTATAAAGTTACTGTTTCTATATCAAAATAACCTATTACATTAATTTAAAAAATCGATATAACAATTTCGGAGAAAAAGAGATAAAACATGACAAAACCTTCACGCCTTACATAAAATGGTTCCTAATAGATTCACTTCAACTTCAACAGAACCGCATTATGGCGGTAGAAGATTAGCCAATATACCAGTAACAGTATTAGGTATTTTAATCCTTATCCTGGCATTGCAGTAACTAGTACACGTGGTTTGGAGATCTGCCAGGTGGTGCTGCTAACAGCTTCGGTCAGCAAAGGGAAATAAACGGCCTGGCATTTACCAACACGATTTCTTGTGTGGTTTATCCTCATGCCTAACTGTGCAAAATTTTATTTAAGTAACAAGAAGGATATTGTTAGATCAATGATTGCTAGGTGTATCGTCAGATACTAAGAAAGATAATGATATGTCAAGAAAAGCACTATTGTGCACCTATTTTGTGAGGAGAAAATCATCAAATGACTTCTCTCGCCCAATCCTAGGCGGAAGTCTAACACTCCCGTAGTCCCGTCAGACTCTTACTAGCTAAAAACCATCCTTTCTCCTTTTCCAGGCCGAAAGTGCGGTGTTATTGGTTGCTCCGTACTCCACAACCCCGGCTATAAGAGTTTGACAATAGAATATGCTTAAACATTTACCTTTAATATTCTATTACAGGACGGCAAAAGAGCGGGATCACCTGATGGTGATCAATCGGCGCCGCCCAAGAACTTTGTGCCTTCTGGAGATTAGGGATTGGGGATTTAAGGTTTGTTAATGGTTGGTGGTAGACTATAAGGCCTTCAATAATTTCATTCACATAACTAAATCAGTAATTATTTCATGGCTATCCACCAGGTTTAAGTATTGGAGGAGGTTTACAAGGGATTTTTCAAGCTTTAGCAATTTCAAATCACTCAATTATAGATTTGTGAGTTCATGAACATAGAACCACATACATACTTTTTACATATGATAAAATCATTAATACCTACATGATAGTAATCATAATACAAAAATCTTATAATTTAGAGATTTCTCTGAAATCAAAAAAACAAATTATTTGCATTTAGACAACCTGTGTTGAGATAGCAGTTTTTTATCTACATCAGTTATATTCTTACTTTATTTCAAAAGTAATATTCAATTTGATCCCTCTGTTATTTCTTTCACACAGCTGAAAAAGATGTTTAAAATATTTAGACCACAATTTAGACATTATGATGTCACCTTCCTGCATAAGTAGCGACTCCGCATATTTAATGTAAACTCAAACATTTGCTAATTTTAGCTGCGGAGCGACTACATCGTTCTATTTTATATTTTCTTCATAATAAGACCATATTTAGAAGCAGCTTTACTTTAACATTACTGCTTCGCTAACTTTATACTACACTGAAGGTGCTGCTTAACATGTTTCGATTTTAATGGATAATAATCTTGTTGGTTTTTTTTATTTGGGAAATATGATAAATAAAACTTAATAAATATAATAGAATATTATTATACGAATTAAAACAACTGCTTTATTTTCAAAATTTCAAAAATCAGTAGGTATTTTTTTTTAATTTCGAAACAAGACAAGCCTAGCATAACATTAAAAGAGATGTAGCATAACATTAAAAGAGATGTTAGATTTTCTTGAAGTTTGAATGAACGATTTACCCGTGACACATGACTTGTCACGCTAGACTAATGGGCGTGAGGTGACTGTCACTCCATGCCACCACACACCCTCACAGTTGGCATTCATCCTGTCATTGACACTAGACCAACTTGTATAACAAACCTGATCTAAAATCTAAATCCAATACCTGTTTTCTTTCGCTCCAATGTTTGGGTATGCTAAAATATGTATGAAGAACATTATATGAACTTTGATGGATAACGTTCAAAATATACGAGGTTACATACACAAGAATTTTAGAGTTAAACAACATTTACTTTTAATTTAAGTTAAAGTAAAAGTTCAAACAGAATGATTCGTATTCCACGCGTTTTTCTTGATACATACTGTTTAGTTAAGGTAAACTTTACTATTATGTAGGCAGCCAAAATTTTATTTCTCTTATCGCGGAAAATGTTTGTTTTTTTTTGCATCGGGAGTGGATCTTCCGATGACGAAACTTTATGTTTTCATTTATGCCAAAAGGAAAATGTCAAGATGTGACGGTATCTCGTCATTCCAGGCCAATTAAATTCTTCACGATACTGAGTCACCAGAGCCATATTGCATCACGAATTCAGATCGCATTTAAGTTTTATTTCAGGTTTCTTTACCAGGCTATTTCTGTGAGATAAAATCCCTAAAAGTTTAATGGCTCATGATTTGGTAGGTGCTACAACCGACTGAATTCTTTGGATTCCTACAATAACTAATTCAATTGACACCTAGCGGTGGCCATGTTTCGAGCGCTCTGAACTGATTTCAGTTTCAGCGAAATCGAAGTGAAAATTAGGCAAAAAATACATTTTGACACTTGTACTAGATTATCTTGTCGATACAGGAGTAAGATTTACTGTCAGCTTCGACCGTGGCATTGGAGTGTGCGGGAGGTGGTGGAGTGCGCGGGAGGAGGTGAGACATGGTGTTCCGTCTCGCTCTTGCGCAGCAGTTCATTCACCCGTGTGCGCGGCGAGTGCGGAAGAGCAGCGTTGCGCGGGCGCAGGTACCGAGGCGGGCGGACGCTGTACACGGGTAGTCGCGCAGGAAGGACGTCTCCGACCATGAACCGAGCTATATTTTATCAGTTATCCGGAGGTGTCGGCGCGCCACGCCGTGTCGCAGTACGCTCCAATATGACCCTCTAATATTACGATACTCAGTGACGTTTTGCATTTATAACTAGACTGAAAGCAACATAGATCTCAAGATAAGACTTATTTTTATAAATTTCTTTATTTTTAAGTGACGGTTTTCTGTGAGGTGTGGATTTATTTTTAAGTGTTAGTGAAAACATATACAAACATTTCACATTAGGATTTTACAATTTGGATTTTCATCAAATTCTTCATTGCAACGGGACTACAAGCCTAATGGTTAGTATATAAATATTTATAATAACTTTAAGTATTAACATAAGTTAAGTTTTCTAATAACAACTAAACACTCTACTTAGGATTTCTTCGCGCCATCAAAAGACATCAACGCGCTTCTTAATTTTAAGTAATGATTATAAATTAACTTTAAGGAGGCTTTAGTTGGTAAACAAAGTAGAAAAGAATATTTTATTATATTTTTATGACATGATATAACATTGACATACTTTTTAACAAAATGTCATAATCCCATACTAATTAAAATTATTACCAAATATAATAATGGCTCGACTGATTATTGATGATTATATATACCGAAGTGACGAAGGTAAACTATATCTACGTTAATTAAATTAAGTGCTGAAATCTACGTATAATTGTATAATGATCAATTAATTATTAACCAAATAATTACACTCCAATAATATTTTTAATTAACTAATTAATCAACACAACACAAAAATGGTAATGGAGCACAATAAACAAACTAATACAAAACTAAACAAACAAATGAAACACAATCCAAAAAACCTTGATATAACGCTAAACTTCTTTTGACCGAACAATTACCTATTCGGCGTTAGCAGAAGTAATTTTGGAGAAGCGTCCAATGTTTTTTGGGCGGCAATTACAGAAATCATAACATGCAAGGCTAACACACACACAGACGCAAGTATTGTTGTTGCGTCGATGTTGGGTGCGCAAAAACAAAGCCTTGAACCTGTCAGGTTCAAATTCAAGGCTAACATTTAAACACACGTGACGTGATCTACCTACGCGAAAATTACGTAATCCATGCAGTGATAATACTCATGCAGCCATTTAACCATTTGTTGATGCCTTTCGGCCATTTTTAAAACGTTTGCTACTGTTTTTCTTCTTCTGTCAATTCTTTTCGAAAGCCTTGGAATTGTTTTCTCGCAGATATATTCAAATTACTGGTAAATAATTTGTAGAGTACTAATAATTTTTGTTAGTCACGACGACCTAGACAAACTTATTTGGTTTATAACATTTTTTTCTAAAATTGTAAAACATCCAAGTTCTGTATTTAAAAAATTGCATAATTAGCAAAAATAAAAAGATTTATTCACATCATATTTAATAAGTTGCATAATACTATATCTCGTTCATTGTTCATGACCTTCAAAACCCGAATGCATCGAACTTATTTGCTTTAAGCGTATGTACTGAATGGACGAACAAATGATGGGAACCAAGTACATAAATAAGTCTTTACGTATTACATGGACACGCACACCAATGTAAACGTAAGCGAAAAAATAATAATTTCGACACCAAAATTGACAAGCAAAAGTGGTCCCAACCGCAAACGCAAAAGTCACAAATTAGCATGCGCGCCACTCGCCGCGGTTTCGGCAATGACAATGACAACGACCGATGATATAACAGAAGGCTGTCAAACCCGTGAAAACTCGGTCATTGAACCGCGCGCTCGCGACTCAGCCCCACTTCTTGACGCTTTCGCTCATGCGATTTATATATCTACGCCACTGAGAATAAAGTCAATATTGATTTGACATTGGTTTGAAAAATATATACAGTTAAGATTTAGACTGAAAATACGTGACGGAAGCGTATGTAAATGTTTTCTTCATGTAACTTAGAGGATTTCCACCCAATTACATAAAAAATGAACGTTTTATATAAAAAAAACTAGAATGTTTAGACATTTAAAAAATAGGAGCATTCTGTTCCACATTTATGTAAAAATAGGTATTTGTGAATTTGATATTATACATTTAGGGGAAAATGATACTACTACAACATGTAAGTAGTATTTAAAAGGAAGAATTCGAGTTCTCTAAACTAGAGGAACAGAATACACAACAGACACAGAACTGGATTCTTTTCATGTAATTTAGTGTTGACACGAGTCAGGCAGGAAGGTCCTTGATGGGTAGAAAGTAAATGTTGAGTGCAGGCGCATGCGCGTGGCGGGCGATGCATGCGCGGGTGTCGGGGGGCGGCGGGAGGGCGCTGTAATGCGTGGAACCTGTTCGAACAACGGTACCTTCGTATCGTGCCCCGGGCGCACACGCACCCATTATGTAATAACGTAATAACCTTTTTCTCGCTCGACTGACTCGTCCCTACAACATATGACCTTAACTTTCAATGACGATTTGTTTGTTTTTATTAACGATAGGGCTCTGATTCTGTATAAACATACCACATCGTTTTTAGTTCTTAGTTATATATATATATTTTCCACCACATTTATGTCTTACACTTTGTTAGCTTCTTCAACCCAGAAAAACATTGTTGTAGTCTTAAACAAACCAAATCAATCAAATTGATTACATCGTAATATAAAATATGCTAAACGCTTGAGAGAAAAGAATAGATGATTCACTTATTCTTAGCATCAAAGTAAGCTAATAGAAACGAACAGCTTTAACTACCGAGAAAGAGATATCAACTTACAAATGTACTATGCAAAGCAGGCGAGCCTTGCATTTAAACTGCTGCAATGCGAAGTAACGCAAGTGTTCCCAGCCGCTTAACGTAATAAAACTATTTATTATTCAGTATAAGTTATGAAAGTAAAGTTGGAGGAAGTGCAGTAGCACGTGTTTATAAAAATATCGATGACAATGTGTCCCACATGCATAGGAGTAGCTATAATATGTATGCCACTAGCCTTCCGGTGGCCAGCCAGGCAACGGTTACCGCACCATAATTTGTCACAAATAGACTTACATAGTACCTACTAGCTAATAATGTTATTCGTACAATTTTAGTGACCCTTTTATCAATAGCTGTTACCAAATTTTTTATTGATATCTCAAAAAACTTCAACACAGACTATTACAAAGCCACCAGGCAAAGTCCACCGTTTGCATTTGTATACTCAAATTACTGTAACAAAGACCTGAAAATTAGCACAAAGTGTCCTTTTCACTGTTAAGTAACGTAACAAAGACTAATTAAGCAACATAACATTACTTAAATAAATTTAAATACCTGAGCCACGTTCGCACTGAGAGATTGTTATCTTTTCACATCATGGGAATTACACCTGCATACGACGTGCATCCCACTGAGCTTTGATTTCACCCTCGCTATTCTTTATTTTTTATCGACACGACCTAACGGTAGCGGGATGCAGTAGGTGCTGCATGAATAAAAACGTGTGTTAAACCTTACACTGTGACGGATTGCTACTGCATATGTACGTGTTTATCGAAGTATGTTTGTATATGCATATGTATAGACAACCAACATTGTAACAGAGAGAGAGTTCCAACTGATATCAACAAGGTATCGTAAAGAATGCAAGAGCAACAGATTGCACGTCCATCGCTGCCTCCATCACAATAAATTATTCCTTTGCTTAAGCTATTTACATCCATGTTGAAAGATCCATACAGTAAAGTTTATATTTTCTTTCCCATATCAGCTACCCACTTATTTATGACCAACCCAAGCTTTCCACACGATTCACCGGCCACCATTTTACCTCTACATTCTAAGAAACTAGGATAACACAACTAAATACATATGCAGTTCTATAATCCAAGTCCTGTTGATCAGCACATTGTTTTTGCCTAGCGGTATATTCCTATGCACGTTGGTTCACAATATATGAATCACTTTAGTCGTAAACTTTGTTAGCAAGGAAACGCATAACAGGACCTCTACAATATTTTAGCAAACAATTCTGCAGGTGAACTAACGCAACAATATATACATGATCATATTTCATATTCTCTTGATAGTCGTTCCAAACAAATCTAACGGTACCTTCCTATACAAAGGCTCTGTGGTCCCGTCTCATTTTTTCCGGATGCGGGGTCCTACCTGCGATTTAACCATACACTTGATGCTCCTTTCATTTTTTTTAATGGTTAGAGACCATAGATAATCTCTTTATAACGTGTTCCTATTAAAAGTTCCCGTTTTAAGTGCCCATTTGATGATTTTTTGTGTATAACAAATTATTACGAATGAAAGTAATATCATCAACATAATATTTTACATGACTAAATTAAATATGTAGATTTGATAGTCTACGGAACCCAAAACTAACAAAGGAAAGTAAACCGTCGATGCGGTTTGTTCGATCGATGAAAGTAAAGGCTTGAGTAGACGGCCGAGCAGTCCCGTTAGCCGGCCCGAGCTCGGGCTCACGGAATACTAAACGCTGACATACTGCGCGGCTTTTGACCCTAGCCACATTCTAGTCTAGTACTTCAACACCTTGGTGCACCGATTCATCTAGGTACATCACTGTGTTCCGCACCCCAGAAATATTGCAGCGAACATTTTTGGTGTCGTAAAGTTATGCATAGTTCTTGAACCATAAAAATTAAAAAATATAATTAAGAACAACAGCCAGACGTGAGTAAAGCGTACTGACGTTTAGCCGCTGTTGGCAAAAAAACCATTTTCCAAGCGAACCTTGGTGTAACCGTCCGTCAAAACATAAACATGTCAATAAAAAACAGTGCACTTTTAACAAACAATTGTTTTCATACTGTGCCTTGTCCTTCCTGGACTTGCATTTTTTTAACGACACGGTCGCATTGTATTTGCTATTCTATTTTTTGTTAAAAAACAAACTATTCACTTGCTAAAATCATGAAATGCAATTTGTGCAAATGGCATTTTTAGTGCGTCCAGTTGTATAACTGACGTAATTGGCCATAAAACTCGGCGATCGTTGTTTTTTCCATACCTTAACTATCCTGGCGACCTCCATTATTATATTTAACAATCGTTCAAAGGGACCGACAAAAGAAATTGCAACACTGTGCTAAAAGTGAAAATTACCCCTAAATCGTAACAACTTTAAAAAGTAGAGAGGTGATTGGGAGTGCGCCACGGGGGATTAGAAATTTAGCCAGACTTATCGGAACATTTAGTTACATGCTGCTAGCTGTATGGATGGGGGTGTACGAGAGGACAACGACCCTACGCAAAATTCGCTGCATTGGGCTAGGTCTAGTGCATGCGCGTATGTAGCGGTATCAACGCGGAAGCGTGGCGAGCAGGAGCGAGCTATGCGCCGGCTCTGAGCCAGACAGGGAAAAACGCATGAATGAGTATTGAAGCCTACCCCAAGAAGGGGGAAATCGAGTTTGCACTGCGGGCACCAGCACTTGCACAGATATACGCGAGCCCTATACATTATACTAAATAGGATCAATAGTGCTTTGCCATCAAAACTTAGCGCTACTAGGAAGCAACACTTTTAGGAAGGAATATTAAAGGAGGGTGACAATTGCGCATTGCCAACATGCATTTCTACTGAACAAAAACAAACCGAAATATGTATTTATATTACAAATAAATCGTCATAACATAGCGCGTCTATGTGTGATATTCATAACGGGTTCCAATGAGTCAACAGAACCAAGATCGTGCATCAAATGTAGAATGTATTTTAACGTAGCCATAATAATCAACGCTACCATTCAGGATGCAAAGGATCGTTAGTCACATAACTTATAGTTATAGGAAACATTTTATGTTCTTGCTCTGTCCTCTTGCATAAACGCAGAATAATTTACCAATTAGAATTAAAAACTCAATGATGTAATTATCACACATCATTGAGTTTCCACGAACAACATACAATGTATTTTGTGTTAAAACTTATCAATTTTAAAAGCTTGGAATGATCTGAGTTTCATACCAAATAAATATAAAAAAACAGTACTGGATAATTTTACAGGAAAAATACTCGATACAACATGAATCAACAAATTAGTCGTTTAGACTGTACTTATTAAGGATGCAACAAAGACCGTGTATGAATGCTCCTATTTAGAAGCTTATGTAATGAAACCCGTTCAAGTTTCTATTACAAACCTAAAGAAAATTTGTGATGTGATGTCAACGACCGTGTGCCCAATACTCGTACAGAAAACGCATTTCCCGGCGCACACGAGCGCAGCGTGCGATTTATTCGCGCGGCGGGCGCGGCGCGCGGCGTCTCGCTCGCGCCGAGCGCCGCCGGCTGGCGCGGGCGGGGGCTCGCAGTGGGACGAGGCGGCCGCGGCCGTTCACCCCGGAAGATTCAGTGTTTTGATACCGCTCAAGCCTCCGCCGATGGAAAACTGCATTTTCTTTGATGCGCTTCGCTTTTCACGCTCTAATTGACCGACAATCGTATAATTTCGTTTTTTAAATGAACTATTTGTCTTATGGGTTTCTATTAGACACATTGTTAGTCAAAGAAAGTTTGTGGATTTGCAAAACAATATGTACTAGAAAAATATTAATTTACCGATTTCAAAATTTTAAGCATTATACATATCGGCTATCACATTATTACCTAATCAGTAAGTACATTTTAGAGACTTATACTTACTACCATTAAATATTGCTTTCGCAGTTTCACAGACTTTTCGTTTATTAGTTTAAATTACTAACATATCTGATCATCAAGTTATTACCTCATTATTATTATAAGTGCGTTTAAACGTCACTAAGCCTGCGAGCCTGAAAAACACTTTGGGGTAGATCACGAATGTTCGGAAATTGCCAGACGTTATCGTAGGTCGCGGATGAAAAGGGCTCATATACATCTATACTATATAGCATAGAACTTATAGCAAAGCAAGGGGAGCGACTACAAACACGAAAAAGAGGGCGATTTGTCTAAACAAATTCGTGCTCAACAAATTTAATCCAAAAATCTAAAAATTAATTTCATGGCACTTAAATGTGAGCTACATTTAAGTTATTAATACAATACAATGTATGTATCTGCTAAATGATACAAAAGCGTAGGTTTTGGCCAACTGAAAAATATGCGTATCATATATCCTTACAGTAAATCATAAACTGAAAGCCGAAACAAAACATTCAATGAACAGAGTACAACAGTACAACACTATTCATTCAAACTAATTGAAAAAGCTGTGTTTGAGCGGCGACAGTCTACCGCCTGCTCTTTTGTAGCGAGCCTCGCCAGTTTGCAGCTGTTCATAGATTACAGGCCGTAAATAGTGAAATCAATATTGGATAATGGTAGGTGGCAGGGTGCGGAGTGGTGGCGTCGGTGGAGAGTGAGATGCACCCTTACCACGAACATTACACTCACAAGCTATATCGTAAAATTCGCAAATCTCAAACAAAATCCACAACTCAAATAAGATCTTTAAAGTTATCGGTACTTAAAACTAAAAGTGCTGTTTTAATACGAGTGTGTTCGAGAATCAAAGGTAAGGGTGCGTGTGCAGGCTGTGTCGACGACCCGTGAGAGTGAAAGCGTGTTCCGGGGAGGCGCGCAGGCCGCCGCCCGCCCTGCATGGCTTTCGCTGCCGTTCTCACGACACCCGCGACCACGTTGTTTTCAACTTGTTTTAATTACCGCTCCATGAGCTGTGATTACGAATAACGTATCAATAGACTTTATTTTGGTATATTTTAATCATAAGTGCGTTCACAAATGAAGTGTGTAAGTGATTTATTTGCTGTTTCGTGATAAGTGTTCCTAGCTCTATTAAATTCGAGTTTAGATTTACTTTTAATTCATATTTATTGTTTTTTTTTAAATACTTTGTTCTCGTAGTTTCATTTGAGAACTTATTTATATTTGAAACATGTATACTGGAATTATTTCTTGGTGGGATAGTATAAGCATTTCCCGCGACAACACTTTAGAAGATCGTCGCTAGTGTTGGTGGGATCGGGAGCACGGTCACGGCGCGCGCCGCGGTCGCCACACTACGGAAGTAATGAACTTGAATGCAGTCCGCGGTCGCAATGCGCTGTGCCGTCCCGCTCTCCTCTAATAAGAGAATAGGAGGCGCGAACGTGACGTACTCACTGCATTTGCTGTCAAATTCGTCCGCATTCTCCGTCACAGGCCGCTTTCGTCGTCGATGCGTTTATCGGAACGAGACGCGAATATGTGTGTCGATTGCATTCTCGGCGTCGTAAAAGTGCATCTAGGTCGGTGGGCATAGCGGCGCGGCTGTGTCGGGTTAGTGGTCGGCGCTCGCCGGCTAGACGTGAGGCAGGTCGGCAGCACGGCGGGCTCCGCGTTGCATAATGCGCACCGCGCTCCGCCGGCGAGCACGGCGACAGCACGCCACCGCTGAGTGCGGCTCGCGCGGGCCCGCACCGCGGACATGAGAGCAGCGCGCCGGTTGCAGCCCCGGGTTCCTTTGCTGGCGCTGCGCATCCTGCTCGAATACCTCAAGTCGCTGCACCTCGCTCTTGCCTCCTAGGCATTCATCATTTCACTATTTATGCACCAAAGACGATAATACTCTTTGTTTATCCGCGGAAATACTAACAAAACGCGCAAAATCTGAACAGTATCTCAAGAATTTTATGAACGATGAGTATTTATGATTGTAAGTATTGCCATATTTTTATCAATTTCTGCAAAACATTTCAGTTTAGTTTAAAAAGTTTCAGTGGTGTGAGACCTAAGTTTCGACGATTAATAAATTTTAAAAATAAAGAACAAAATATTTATAGGAAATTAAATAGAAAAATAATTAAGTACCTATTTTATATTCCATTTCAAAATTTTAAGTGTGATAGCATTTGTGCGAAAAAAATATTTTAAAAATGCATAATGATAAACTAATTAGTGCAGATTTTCTAATCTTTAATTTTAATTAAATTTTTGATCTCTTATTTTCCTTTCGCAATAATCGTTTGTAAATTTTATTTAATCATATTAGAATTATTAAAATGCAATAAACAATTCATAATGTATGTATCTAATACTGTCGCTATCTAACCAATAGGTAGTCGCGTCTATTTGCAGTGGAAATATCTACGTATTAAATGTATTATTAGCCTGCAAGGTTAGTGTTCCCGTTGCACTCTCGCATGGCTATGTAACATATGAACATGACTGCAATATGCAGTCATCATCACTATTTTACATCACTCTTATTACTGACACTTTTTGTTGCACGACCTTGCACTCTCGGCTTGCATAATACAGACGTTTTCTACAATAGAAATCGAAAACTATCGCGACATTTAGTAAATAATTGACCAAGTAATAATTATTAATATGAAGTAGATCAAATATAACACGAATGCTTCCGCGTACAATACTTGGAACAGTCGTTATCGCTGCATTTGAATCAGGAAGAGGAATACTGATAAAGGGGCCTTGTAGAGTCCGAATAGATCAAAACAATTGAATCATCATATCTTTAATCACTGAATAATAACGTTCCACGTCAACGCGCATCTCTTGCTAGTAGGGCTCCGAGTACTTTATTATTTATTTATTAAGTAAAATAAATGTTCTAATTCATACGATTATCTCATCCTTTCGATACAATTTTGGTGATAATTTGATCATTTAATTAAATTTTCATACGAATACGAATCATTAACAAAAATCATATAACGTTACGAATAATACTATTATAATACATAAAAAAGTGTTGTTTGTAAGAAAAAGGTACGTTTTAAATACTCTAAAGGACAGCCTGGTTTGGTGGATAATAAGTTTCAAAAATTGTGTCTAAAATACTGCCGAAGATCAGCTGTAAGAAATCTTTTCGTGTGCCCAACCATAGTAGTGTCTAATGTATATTCTATACTAAATTAAATAAAATATATAAAAAAAAAGATTGCATAGTGGTGTACCAATATACGTCCAATACATGAGACATTTGTGTTTGAACTTAAAACAAAAATATTTTATTATTAAAATGTATAAATATAAAAGTTGGTAGCCCTAACGTGGTCGCAACGTGCTAGCGTAAAGGGCAAGTTCAAGACCGAGCGCATCATGCGCATGCTCAAGGTTGCTTCCTGGTGCGCGCGCGACGATGCGCGCCGCGGCCCGCGGGCGGTGCGCTGTGCGCTACTGTGTGATAGCGCTGCACTACGAAATCTACTCATTAAAAGTACTTCATACTATTGATATTCTATCAAAACTATAAGTAAATCAAGCACTTAATAGAAGTAGTTTTCCAACAAATATTATCTATAACTTTCGCCGATTGTTTTATGTAATTCTGTGAGTGAAAACATTAATTACTTTGTTTACGTAGAATAAAACCGAATGTTATTAGTATATACATAGGTGAGTAGGTATGTCTATCATCGTTATCACGAGAAGTACAAGTAGCAAGTGGTTGCCGGGCGGGGTTGCGTGCGATATGTGACATTGCGCGGACGCATTGCGCAACCTGCACTCACGGTCACGTGCCTCCCCCCTCTCGTCCCTCCTCAGTTCTTCACACTATATCCCCACCATTACCGACGTTACAGTGTAAACATCAGCCCTTACGCAAGAATTACCTGTTTACATTATTCATATGATTTCAGGTTTACCATTATATTTCAGTTTAAACAAGTTAAAATTATATTGTTTTATTAAATTTCATTATGTTATTACTTATAGGAACTTAAATTTTTTCATCTCTTTTTTATATTATAAAGTTAGTAAATAACATTCGTTTTAGAATTTATTGAATAATTCAATTCATCCAGTGACGTATGTAGAAATAAGTACAATATATACTTAGCGATGCACCACATCGGTTACAAAACTCATGCATAAAACCATTACCAATGCAACGCATAATGTTTACAATATGGTGTTCGAGCCGGCGCTTGCGCAACAATTTGAATGTCAAATGGGGCCGGTTTGGAAAACAAAATTTTTCGTTCTCATCGAGAGGAGTCGTCGGCCGCAAGCCGCCTCGCTTCCGCAATTATGCAATGAAATGTTGAACTTCAATGTTGCCTCATAGTCACTTCACCGATACGGGAATGCATTCTTTTACGAACCTGCCCATACTTTAAAAAGCCATAGAACGTGCCTCGTGTATTTACTTTTGTCGTTATTGCATAACTATTTCTAAAAACTTTAGCGGTCGTGCTGTCTGTGCTATCAGACTTTTGGTACTTTTAGAAGTACACAAGTTTTGTAATCTTCAATTTGGAAATTAGATCAAATGTTTATTTTAAACTTTAACGTTCTTAGAATCACAAAGAATTTCATTTTCGTGACCAATTCATAGTTCCGTATTCCACGTGAGTAGTGCCAACTTGGCAAATATTCAATGCATCCGCCGTCAGGAGAGCAATACGCGATCGTTTTGGTATAACATCCTAAATTTAAACTAATCATAAATTATATGCAGTTGTCATACCAATTTTAATTTAATTTCATCATAAAAACACAAAAAATCATGATTTATATTTATATTCACATCTTTTTATATTTTTCCGATAACACAAAGCGTTAATGATGTACTTGCATTCTTTTCACATTGTTTTAATCTAGCAATTATTGGTCGATTTTGACAGGACTTTTCAGAAATAGAACTCTGTGTAGATAGCCAAGTAAAATTCCGCTGAAACATAATTACGATGATGACTAACTCTACAAATGTATTTTGTTCCAGGTACAAGTTACTTCAATACACGGAAAGTAATTATGACAATAGTAAATTAAAGGACCAACACATCAATCAAAATGAGACTGGTAAGTTCACGCCAAAATAAACTTTATACAAATACCAATACAGACTGATAAAATTTGCAAGGAAATATCTAAGTATTCAATTGAAATTGTTGAAAATATAAATAGGCAAAGGGGAAGTGTCGGTGCGCAGTGGAAAGTGCGCACTTATCACAAAACTGGGTCAGTAGTGGCGCCGCCCCTTTATCGAACGTTGCTTTTCGCATTTCACTTAGGAAACTAAACTCTTTCGATAAGAAAATAACACTCAAAGTTAAATGACACAATACAAAATGCACACGGCTGTAAAGAGGGAAAATGCATCACGTTACGATGTTGTTTGCATATTTTTGGGGCCTGAAAGTGATCGGATAGCGAACAGATAGTGTTAAGTCGCTAGTCCAATGAAAACGTATCAGAGAAATATTTGTTTTGGTAGTGTTAATAATTTTAATTCAATAAGAAACTTGTTAAAGTATTTTTAGTGATGTCTGAGTAAAACTGATTTGGGGTATATTGTCAACAGTCAACCAGCGAAGAAGTTCCAAGCACAACAGTGGTGGGCCGCACAGGGAGTCCTGGAGGCCCAGATGTAGTGAACGGCGTGTCTAGCGCGGGCGCATACGATGTAACACGCATGCGTGAGGAGGAATTTGAGAGGCTCACAGTGTACATCGTACCCGACGTGCCTTGTGAGCGAGGCACACCCAACCGCGCTGAGAGGACACTCCCGCGCAGCTTAGCTCTCAGACCATCTGCAGTATTATCCACTCCTAACACACCGGTACGTCAACGTCGCCCACTGAACGACATTTTTGACAACAACTAGCCATATCGAAAATACTCTACATCACACTTGTACAATTTTCCAGACTGAAGGTGTTTGGAGTATAGGTGTAATACCGCGTGGAACACGCTTCGGGCCCTTTGAAGGTACCCGAACACCGAACAAGCCCAATGACAAAGTCTCCTGGCGATACTACTGGAGGGTAAGTGTTACCGCAACCCTATCATTGTCATATCATAGGAACCAATAATCGCAACCCGCTTTGCTTTTATTATTGTTATTTGGTTGAGGCTTGTATCTGTACATTCAACAGCACAACCCTTAGAGCGCAGTTATTGACTATCCTCAACTAAGCAAACTAGACTAATAATTTCTAGCGTAATTTTTATATTTTATCTGTATACAAAGCACTATTATTTTCTTCTTCTATTAACCGAACTCTCTCTTTGGGCCAGGTACAGGAAACTGTGAGACATCATACTTATGGAAATATTAAGGTGAGATTGGGCTTTCAAATTCTATTCCATTGGTGATGGTCGTATAAATCTATTTCATGCAAATATTTTTAATAATACATATTATGTCAACAACATGTCATAAAAGTATACGGTGGAGAAACTAAATTATATGTAGGTAATATCGCTCAATATCACGCACAATCAAGGTAGAACAAATAAATGATAAATTTACTAGTAGAGTGCAATGTCGTTAAACTAATCGTAAAGCTTGTTGTTGATAGCCCCTGTTCACATCCCTAGATGAAGGCACAAGTATAATTGTTGAAATGCAAACGATTGTTTAAGCGTACGTTATCTTCCTATATTACCTCTCAAGTGACATTGCATCTCGTCCTTGACTCCACGCTACTCTACCATAATGTAAGCGTGGCGCTATCAGTTGCACGCGCACTGTAAATATCCTGCACGTGCCACGTGCGCGAATAACATGTGTCTAACACAATTATATAAGTTTTATTCCAAACACACATAATATTAGCAAGTAACAAACTATTTCATGTTAATTTCATTGTAAATATCCTAAAACGCTATTGCTTTGTTAATTAACTTCTACCATCAATACTTATTTATTTCTACAAAACTTATCAATGAAGCGGTATTATGAATATAAATTAAATTTTAAAGTCGTATTAGTGTTATTACTTAAACAGCGATTTTTTATAGTTTGAATAAATTGGAAAATAATTATGTGCAAGTATTCACTAAGGAGGGCAACTGTTATAATTGATGTTAATTTATTACAGATATTTAAGGACACTGACTATTATTACCTGGACGGTTCCGACACCAGCGTAGCAAACTGGATGCGATATGTCGCGTCCGCGTACTCTCTCTCGGTGATGAACCTCGTGGCTTGTCAACACCAGGAACACATATACTTTTACACAATCAGGTAACTTCACTACACAATATCACTTTATACACATTCACATTCACTTTTTATTGTCAATCACTAATTTTCATATTATTCTTTACAGAGACATCATGCCAAACGAAGAACTCATGGTTTGGTATTGCAAAGATTTTGCAACGAGGTTGGGTTATGACATCGATCCTGAAAGAGCAACATACTCTATCTGTAAGTTTTTCAATATTTTCGTAAAATTTTAATGGAATAGAAGGTAATTCCATGGACAAATTTCTCATACCTTTATTTTTTATTTATAGGCAAAGAAGAAACAATTAAAAAAGCTTATGGCTTGCCACCAGCACCTGTGCATCCTGAAATTGCATTCAATCACATGAAATATGTTCTTGGATTAACAAATACTAAGGAGCTGCTAGAAGCTGAAATCCCAAATCGGCGGCGAAAACGTGAAGCAACTGACAAACCTTTTCATGAAAATCCTACGCCGATACATCGAGAAGATCCGAGATGTATCAACAAAAACGATAGGGTGGTCCTCAGAGCAGACATTTCTACCAATATCATCCATAACAAAAGTGAAAACTCAATTGTTACAGAACAAAGATCATTATCACCAACTAGCTTAATGCCTTCGCCATCGCCAGTCAAAATGCACAGAGAGAATCCTACTCTGATTATACATCAGCACAAAGAAAGTACATCCCAAGTGGTTATACATCAACTTGAGAATCCCCGAATACAGAGTAACAGGTCACCTGCACAATGCCAAACTTTGAGAGACATGCGTGGTCCATCGCCGATGGCACAAAATGCCCAAGACAAGTTAGGAAGCAAATCTCCCGTACTCACTCACTGTATGGGGCCACACTATGAACATCAACTGACCCCGAACGATGGATCAGTGCGATCTGATGAAGGATATCATAGCAACGGCTATCACGATGAATTCACTCCTCCTGAAGATTCGAGTGATTCTGACGTAGAAAACTACGTTCTTGACTGTTCCAATAAAACGAATGAACCCAAAGAGACAGTAATAGTCCAAAAAATGGACCAGGATATGCATCGCAATGAATATAGAAAAGTTAAGATAAAAATGCCAAGAGCATATCAGTATCAGAACCACAAAGATATGGATTGTGAAAGTGAGAAAGAATTAGTTATAGCTGAAGAAATTCCTAATACTCCACAAAATTTGTCACCACCAAGACGTGATCCTGCCACATCGACTGTTATAGTATTAGAATCATCTCAAAATACAGTGGTACCGCTAACCAAGCCATACTATGAAGAAGGTGCTTTGTCTCCTTCTCCACAACCGGCTTTCATGAGATATTCTCCACCTGATACAAGAATCTTGGAAACAATATTAACTGGTAACAGGATCGACACAAATAACAATGATCCTAATCGCCGTCAACCAAATGCGACACCGCCACCGTCATCTCCCACCGAAATGGCTTATTCGTACAAGAAAAGCCAAAGGTATGGGAATGCCTGCAGTCCGGACTCTAGCTCGAATTTGACTCCTCTGCCGTCACTATTGCCACTGCCGCAACAGCTGCCAACACCCAGCGCTGCGTCACTATATTCATCGTCACCACCGCACACCATCCCACATACTACTGAGATTCGAGAAATCAGAGAAATAAGAGAAATTCGTGAGACACGGTATGAAAGCCACTACCCGAACTACACCTACAACTTGTATTCTCCTCCTAATTCTACGATAATCACTCAACTGGGATCACCACCCAGCAATTACTCGCCAACAGTGACGTCATCTCACCAGTATGAGAGGTCACAGAATGTTCAAAGTAATCACCACTATCCGTCTTCAACTAGCGTGATTACACTAAAAAATTGTTCGCAATTAAGTTTAATTCAAAACACAAATGTGAACAGTCAAATGGTTCCTCAACACGGCAGCGTCAGCCCTGACGGTTCGTGTGGGCTCATGGGAGCACCAATGAGTCCTGGCTCACAATCTTCTCGAGGTTACAGAAGCTTACCTTACCCACTAAAGAAAAAGGACGGGAAAATGCACTACGAGTGCAACGTTTGCTGTAAGACGTTCGGACAACTTTCCAATTTGAAGGTTCACTTGAGAACGCATTCAGGCGAGCGCCCGTTCAAATGCAACGTGTGCAGTAAATCGTTTACACAACTCGCACATCTACAGAAACATCACCTTGTACATACCGGAGAAAAGCCGCATCAGTGTGATATTTGCAAAAAACGATTCTCCTCAACATCGAATTTAAAAACTCACCTACGTCTGCATTCAGGACAAAAACCCTACGCGTGCGATTTGTGTATGCAGAAATTCACACAATTCGTGCACTTAAAACTTCACAAGCGGCTACATACGAATGACAGGCCATACGTGTGCCAAGGCTGTGACAAGAAGTACATCAGTGCTTCCGGGCTGCGCACGCACTGGAAGACCACTAGTTGTAAGCCGAACAACATTGAAGAAGTTTTAGCAATTACTAATGCAGCAAACACTGAATGCATCGGTAAGTTGTTTTTCACTGACAAAGAAATCATTTTCACTTAATTCACTTTTTTCCAAATCTCTAAAATTAAAACAATTAAAGTAATATAATCAATTTTAAAACAAATGAAAGAGAATTAACGCGACCGCAGTCGCGAGAGCAACTGCAGCGCGCTGCACTTTCTCTCCGTAGGTGAACCGCAACTTTCACTTGCGCTCTCGCTGAACGCGACCGATTTCATTTTCGCGTGCACTTTGCAGGTAACGTCGACAAAGACTGCCACGAAAGAGAGGGGCACGAGGCGTACGAGGTGCACTCTCCCTCGCAGGGCGGGCTGGTGGGAGCCGGTGGGGCGCGCGTGGCGATGTCTCACGAGGTGCTGGGAGGGCCGGCGCACCAGGCGCATACCACGACGCCACACCTGGCGACGCACGCGCCGCTGTCGCCGCACGCGTACCGGCCGCTGCCCGAGCACGAGCCGCAGTACGCGCCGCAGCCGGCCGAGCCGCGCGCCAGCGTCATTGAGTCCAGCCAGCCCCTCATCATCGAGTGCACCTGAGCCCTGCTGGCGCAGCACGCACTCGCCGGACGCGTGTTTCCCCGCCGCATTATGTGATTCCAGTCTTGTGATCTAACGAAAGTATTTCGTAAAAACATTCGGACGTCAAGTTCGTCCCTTGCAGTGGCTATGAGATTACGATATAAACTTTAAGTTGTACATTTGTAAGATTTATAACTTGTAAATGCGATGCGATATTAATAAGTACTAAGTACTTGAGATATGTTAGGCCCTTCGGGGAGTGTATCATATTAGGTTAAGGATTTAAATATTACATCCAAGAATTCTGCAGCCTCTGTTTATACTAATGCTCAATTTTATATATATTAGAATTCTATTGTAAATAGGATTTTGAGACATCGACTTATTTAATTTTTTACACGATAAAGATGTATGTACCTACTTCCAGATTTAATGTCTTCGTAACAGTGTTGTCGAGATTGATGAATATCCTTAATTATTTGTTGTTCAATTATAAGTAGTATTAAACATCAGCAGTACATAAAAGTGCTACTATAATTAAATTTCACCAAAGAATATCTGAACAGCAATGAAGTGCCGAGCGAATACAAATTTGTGAAATTATTTGAAATCGGTCCGAAACACTTTATAAAGCAACTGATTAACGGTAAGTGCCAAAAGCACGTTTATGTTTAAGTTAAAATTAAAGAGATGAGCGTATAGTATTTTTAAATTGTTGTTCCTAATGAATATTTGGAAAGTAAGCGCATGATATGTGCAGCGACGTAATTCTAATGTTATTTAGATTAAAATTGTCAAATTGTGTACATTATCCCTACGCTAGAACAAATGGTGCTTCACATCGTAGAGTAGTGGTTGCTCGCACCGCACGCGCGGCATCGCGGCGCGCGGCGGTGGACATGTACTACATTGTAATGTTAATTCACCGAGTCTACTAGTTACTATTTTATATTCCCAAGTAATTATGATTCTCCTATTCGAAAAGGCTGAAATAATTAAATGTAATGTAATGTTTGGCAAATATTAAACGTAAGTAAGTGTTGGTTTACATTATGTGTAACTTGTGCGGTCGTGGCTTGTAAGCAAACTTTGTGTGTAATAAATAATAAATTCACAGCTATACGTGATGTAAAACCAAACGATAGCGTTTTGTATATTTCTATTGTTCGTACGAATAAGATTTTTACACGCAATCCTTAGTAGATTTATTAACTGTATATTTTATACTGTTTACAGGGCAAAAGAATTTGTACTAAAGCCTGCTGTCGTGTATGGCTTATAATAATTATATCGAGTCCACAATCATGTTAAAATTTCGGCTGATTTCGACGTTAAAGTTACTCTTCGGATTGTTTATAGTTACAATTCTTTTTTCGTGAAAACAATTATTTCTATGATAGTAATATTTAAGTCCAATACTTTTCTTATCACGTACATATTGCATCCCTTATTACAACTGTAAATTATATTTTTAAATATATAAAAGTTTCTGAATAAAAGTTAGATCGTTAAAAGAATTGTATTGGTAAACTTTCTTTATCGACTATTATGATATGTATATTTTAATATATTGAAGATTGTATATCTATTGTAATTACTATCTTTGTTAAATCTTGTGATTCGATGGATCTGTGAAGTAATTTCATCTTCCTTAATTTTGTGCATGGTACCTTTAGAGATGTAAAATTACAGGGTTCGTTATGTGTTCCTATCGGAGGCCACAATCTTTATTAGTGAACGACTTAACTAATTACTTACACAGTAATCGCTAACATGTAATTTAAATTACAAACTTCGTTGTGAATTACAACTTTGCTTATATATTTTTTTACTAAAATCGTTTTCAAACGTCGAAATCATCTATATACCGTTTGTAATCAATCAAATCAATCATCTCAAAATTTTGTCTACTGAACAAATTAATATGTACCTATACGTTAACATATAACTGCTAAAACAATAAATAAATTATTGTTGAGTGACTTTTAAATAAGACTTGTTGACTCCAATATCAATTATTGCGTAATAAAATATGTATACGGAACTCTTTGACTTCTCGCCATTCCTTTAGTTCAATAGTATATATACTAATTATTTTATTATATTTAAAATTTTATGAAGTACGAACTTTATTTCAGCTTTCTCATCACAAAACTGTCAAAGCACTCAACAGTAATTTATCATTGAAATCTTTCTTTTATTTTCAACATATAGTTTTGTTTTTGTAACGCAAAAAGTAGACTTCAGAGTCCAAATTTGTACGGAAATAAAATAGTAAATATCGCACAAATCTCGCACTTTGTTATAAAAAAACCCTAAAGAATAAAGTAATAAATGCTGAACAGTACGTAGGTACCATAAGCCATGTTATTTTATTTATTTATTGGATATTTTCGATTTTAATTTTGTTTATTGTGAAAATTGTACTTAGGAACTAATTAAACTGTAAATAATTCCAATGAATTATAAAATAATGTGGTATATTTTTAAATAATTTACATATAATGGTATATCAGTCACTATCAAGTTGATTATAACTACATATATTTGAATATTGTATAAAAATTGTCACCTAAGAGAGATTGATGATCGTAATAAATAATGTAAGTACAATATGTTACTTGTGGTACAGCAAGGTAAGCAATATTATCACTGTATGTATTTAATACCTTTTGCTACTATTATGTATAAAATATAATGTACTCGCATACACATCGTAAGGAGTATAGGTAATATTGTAACTACTTAACGCGCCAGAACTTACCTACATACTGTAAAGGCCTGTAATTTTGTACACCTTGATCGATAATAATTATTTTACAACACCAAATTCATTAAAACGGGAGTAAAAGTATAAATTGTGGTTTTATTATTGTTTCATCCCCTAATAAAAAGAAAAAAACAAAAACTTCATAAAACATAACAACACACGAGAGGAATGATGCTACAAATATAAGAAAAACGCGTATTATGTTAAAATACTCGTATGACATAACTCGACGAATTGAGAACCTCCTTCTTTCTCTTTAGTTGGGTAAAATGGTAAAATAAAATTGTAATATAGTATACATACTAGCGAGAGTCTTTCATTTTGTAACACTCTCACTGACAAAGAACTCACCGGGCACTCGCACTTTTTGCAATAAAAGTAGAGAGAGGTCGCATCCATTTTCATTTCCATATTCATTGCTCAGCTATTGACGTGGTATTGGTGATATTTTTATGTATATACACATTATTGTTATGTATATTTATACATAACAATAAATATGAGTACTTACGAAGAGAGTAAACAAAAATTAATATGGGTAGGTATCTGAAAGACATTTATTATCCGGAGATATGGTCTTAATCATTTTTTTTTTTTTAATTTATAACTTTACACGATCAATATGATCAAAACCTAATAGATTACTGCATCATATGTAAAAGGATTTTAATTTAAATGTTTTCAACATGTACTGTACCTACTCTATATTTACTACTACAAGATAAAGATAAGAAAGTTTAGTTTTACTAACCTCAAATCAATATTAGGTACTTAATTTTAGTTTATTATGCAATTATATCGTAGAACAAAATGGCTCTCGATGACACCTCTCTCTCTCGTTTTATGTATACCATCTCGATGATGATGGTATACATAAAACACTAAATATTAGGAGAATAAATAAAAATAAAATATTAGGAAAATTGTATTTAATTTATTACAAGAACATATCGAGTTTCTTAAAGAAAATAAAAATAAATTGTTTACCTACACAAGGCCAGGACAATCGAAAGTGAAACCTGTTTGAAGCACCATAAAGTTAAATATTACTTAACATAAAGGCAAGTATTTTAATTAAACATATTTAGGTCCAGAATCCATATATAGAACAAAAAATGAACTAACGCATTTACGCGCGCTACTTTTGAACAACTCGACCAAATTGTGATTGTTTCGAATTCGTAATATGTACTTAGGACATGTTGACACTTCTTTGAAGAAAAAATAATACATTTACCGGAAACATTCGGAAATAGTACCCAGTTGACATTCGACAGAAATATACAGCTAAGAGAAATTTTATCGCTATATCTTTTTTTTTTAAGTCTGCAAATAAATAGTTTTACTATCAATTTGCTAATTAATTTCGTTGACCATCAGTAAATAGTCCGCAACAATAGAATTCTACTGTCTAAAAACGACAATGAAAAACCTATCGGTTTATATTATTCTAATCAAAGTAGAGTTTAACTCCCTTTGTGACAGAACTCCTTAGTTGTATCTTGTATCATTCATTTTGACTGCACGGTTGGTGAAACTTAGCAACTGGCAGCCGGACAACGTGTCGCGGGTATGATTCCCGCACGGGGCAACTCTTTGTTTGTGATCCACAAATTGTTGTTCTAGATCTGGGTGGCTTGTGTATGTGAAATTGTATCCTAGGTAGAAAATAGGGAGGAGCAAAGTTTTTTTATAAAAACAATTACAATATTGGTTTTGTTATATCAGTAACAGTTGAATTCTGGTCGGCTGGCTGGTCACTGCTGGTCGTAGGCTCAGGTGCTCGACATTTCTTCAAATGAGTCCTCATGTTGGAAGATTGAGTAAAGGCGAGTTTACAACGCGGACACGAGTACGGCTTCGATCCAGTGTGGAAGTTCAAATGAGACTTCAAGTGATGCTTCTTCGTGAATGATTTTGGACACAGCGTACAGGAAAACGGCTTTACACCTAGAATAAATAAAGTTTTATTTTAAATGAAAATATTTACCATTTTCTGGTTATCTGGTAAAAACTTTACTTGTTCATTGTGAATGTATTTTCTATTGCTATTTAAGATTTACTAGATTTATAGAAGCATAGGTGCTCGGTCTCCATGTAACTTAGTAGATTTGACTAACCATTAAAGAAAATATTTCTTTTTCTTTAAAAAAACATTGCCCCACTATGATTTTCTCCTAAGCCGTGGGTGCGTTTACAAACATACAAATTCACATACACAAACCACCCAGACCCGCAACAACAATTTGTGGATCACACAAAATATTGTTCCGTACAGGAATCGAACCCGCAACACGTTACGCGGCAGCCAGTTGCCCAACCACTACGCCAACCGTGCAGTCAAGAGATTTAAAAACTGTCATTCAAATTGGAGATTTTTGCTCAAGTACTTAGAGTGTTAGATAGCAAGTCAATTACATATAGGGAATACTCAATTCTTGATAAATCATTGCAGTATATCAAACACTCAATTTCCCTACTCAATAATATGAGTAGCTGATAACGGTATCTATCTAATTAATTTAATTTTAGTTTGATCGCTAAAGTCGAGCGCAAGGTCATTTCACTGGAACTAATTGATCACTGTCTCTGCGATAGAAGTCGAAAGTCTTCATTGTATAATAACTCTTATGAAAGTATAGCAAATATCTTCATCTTTATTTTTACAGCATTTTTTCAGCATCTTTATTTCTATACAAACTTACAAAAGTACTGAATTCTTCTGTAAATCTAGTTTAATGATTATTTACCAAACCCTAAGCGAACGCCGGCGCTCGGACACAAACATATTGCTCCTTTACGCTGTCTCAAATTACCACGATAAAAAAATTTTCAAAATTAAAGATTTTTGTCTTAGTAAACTAATGTGGAGTTTTGTGAATGATTCGGATCTCATAAAGTCTCTAAGAGGACAATTTCCAAAAAAATATAAGTAGATACCTATAGTTAGATAACAATATATCTAGGTAATTTTTTTCTTCTTATTCAGAAGTGTTTTGAACATTCGAAATTCGAACTCTGTCCTAACGATTACAATGTCTTTAATACATTCTAAACTGTTTTTCTCAAAACTAAAACCTTTTTAATTCGAACTGGGCTTCAGTGATGTGTAGGTACAAAGAACCAGCTAGGTCCACAAATAATCATGTCGCACAATTATCACCTCTCTCTTTGTTTAACTGACCTGTGTGTAATCTCAAGTGTAGCGTCATGTTGGAGCGGTCGGCGAAACGCTTGTCGCAGTGAGGGCAGGCGTACGGCCGCTCGCCGGAGTGCGTGCGCTGGTGCTGTTTCAGCAACATCTTTCGAGAAAATGCCTTGCCACACTCTTCGCACACATGAGGTTTTACACCTGGAATAGTATATTTGAAAATGTAGAACTCGGTGTGTTCGGGTCATTATAGCCTGAAAAAATGTCATCGGATTAGTATAGCTAGTTCAATACTAGATGTTACGATGCCAAGTATGTTTTATGCGATGGAGTACAAACAAGCAGACTCCTCATCTGTAAATAAATGATCAGTACCGCCCATAAAAATTTCGCGTCCTAGTTTTTATAAAAATAAACATTTTTTTTCTAGAACTTTTAAAAATCGCTTGCTTATTTATTACCATCATTAATTCCAAAGAATCAATAAACACATATTTTGAACTTATCTAGTAAAACAGCAAAAGAACTCCACTTTTTCCAATCCTAATTCGAAGCTTACTCTGATACCTAAATGAAATAAAAAATAATGAAGTACGAAATACAAAAGCGGTCATCAGATTAAAGTGACAATCTTAACTTGGAACTACCGATCTGTTTGAGGGATCTAGAAACCGCGTACGTTTGGGAAAGTGCAAACTTAGCACTACGTAACTAATTTAATGTGTACTCGTGTTCGGCAACGATGATGAACATTATAAACAAATAAATATTCGAGCAGTTCGTTCATTTGCTTCGGAAGATTAAGCATTTAAAAAGTTACATTGTCTCTTGAAAAAGTACTACAGATGAAACCGTTCAAATAAAAGTTTCAAATCATTTGTTTTTTTTTTCTTGTTACTACATACATTAGCCACAAATCTATCAACAAGTGTTCCGGAGGTACAAACTGCGTTGTAGGAGAAACTTTTTTTAATTCTAGCATTCTATCGAACATGTTCTAGAACGTAGGAATAGATTTTACTTACCCGTATGAATTCTCACGTGCATGTTGTAAGCAACGCGTTGGTTGAAAGACTTGGGGCAAAGTGTACACTTGTATTCTTTGCGGTTCCTGAAAACAAATTAAAAAAAACGTGTAGTCTAGTCTAGTGGTCACACTATAGCTGAACCGTTTTTCCTTACACTCTTTTTTTCGGTCACTTTTTGCCCTCTTTCAATTGCATACGTAGTACTTAATGTGGTTAAGTAAACCAACTAATCCGGAAAGTTTAATTGAGACTATGATAGAGATTTTCGGAAAAATTGATTAATAAGCTTAGGACCAAGACCAACAAGACAGGCGAAAAGTGAGTCTTCGAAATCAACACTGGAGTCTAAAGGACTACCTTTAGAGGTCATAACTGTTCCGAATCGTAGATTAAACGTATTACAATTATAATATGGTATCTTACCGATGGATCTTCATGTGGCTACTGAGATATCCTCTATCGTTGAAGTACTTGCCACAAACAGTACAGGTAGCTGCAAACTCCCTGGTACCTCTATGTATAGACATATGGTACTTGAAGTTACGAAGCTGCGAGAATGTCTTCCCGCATTCGCCACAGGAGTACCTGGCGTTGGTGGAGTGCCGGCGCATGTGCACTGCGAGGTGCTCGCTACTGGTGAACACCTGGAAACATTACATAAATCAACTGTGTACTCTTTGCTGAACATTTGAATAAAGTTCTTAGTAGTAACCAAAGAAAAGACGAATAGGCCTATTAAATAATCATTAAAAGAGGCATTGACTTAAGTGTGGGAGAGCTAAGCTTCAGCACGAATGGTTCGGCTCGACCGGAGTGATACCAAGGCCTCACAGAAAACCGGCGTGAAACAACCACAGCGTTGTATTTCGGCTAACGGAGGCCCAATCCCACCCCTTCCCCTCCCCAACCCTTCCCAATCCTTAAATATCAGGAACCTTTAACCCTAAAAGGCCGGCACCGCAGAATTGCACCCGTTCATGGGCGGCGTTGATTGCTTACCATCAGGTAATACGTATGCTCGTTTGCCGACCTATACCATAAAAAAATGAAGTGCGAAATCTATTCATCTGCTATTGCTCCTAAGTGCTACACGATCAAATTGATTTCTCTAAACATAGGCTTGGCCGATCAGAATGACTCGACATAAAGAATAGTCTGAAAAAAAATATTATCTTAGCTGATTTCAAGTAGTGTGTTCCTATTTTAACGATCCGATATTTGCATACCTCTAACATAAATATAGGTACTTACTTAGATACTCTTCAGAATACGAGTGTAGATGACATACAACTCTTTGTATTATTCTAATTTAATGATTACTTTAAATTGTTTAAGCAAACCGTTTCCAGAATAATGGATATTTCAATAATTTATGTTCTTACGCGTAATCATTACAAGTTTGTTACGTGACTTCACATATATAACAAATAGCATAAAATTACTATAAAATAATATCCAACAAGTAAGTGTAGTGTTTATACAAGCAACCCAACTTCAGGCACTTTGCTATATACTGTGAAATAACAGCTTAGTGGTCATAGCATTTCAACTGCGAATGCAAACGACTACATGAATATAAATGCATTTCGCGCAAAATATTTGCACTCAGCACGGTGAAAGCAAACCTATGCTAAAAGAAATGTTATTGGCAAACGACTCTTATTTTATTTGCTTTTACCAACAATATATTGCACTATAAATTTATCTGAACTAAAACTATATCCCCATCATAAGCACACGGACCAAGGAACAGAAAAAATATACATTTTAATTGTAAAATTCAAAGCATTAGCAAAATAATTGAGCAGCAAAGAACACACCTACCAACAATCACAAAACTCAACAAAATTAAAAAGTTAATAGTCATACTATAGTTTAGTTTAGTTATAGTCGTGGTGGCCCGGAGGTTAAGCAGCCCGCTTCTCATGCATGAGGTTGTAGGTTCGAAACCTGGCAAGTACCAATGTGACTTTTTCCGAGTTATATGTACTTTCTATGATTATTTAGATACCACTGACATACGGTGAAGGGAAACATCGTGAGAAAACCTGGATTTCTAATTATAAGTTTGAAATCGCCAACCCGCATTGAGCAAGCGTGGTGATTATTGCTCTAACCTTCTCCGTATGAGAAGAGACCTTCGCTCAGCAGTGGGCACTTATAAGCTGATGATGAATAGTCTTACTATTAACAAAGCAACGGTTATAAGAAAACATACCTGATTACAAACTGTACACTTGAAGTCATCTCTCTGTTGATTTGAAACAGTTGTCACTTTGTTCATACCATTGACAACGGCAACTTCTTCAACTACTTCTGTTGCTGATGATATATTTGCATTCGGAACATTGTTATTACTATCGTTAATAATGCTAGTGTCTATCAACTGAAAAAAATAATATACATGAAATAAAGAACTTGATCGAGTCGAAGAAACACTTTTTAATGGGTTCTATAGATTACCTTTTGTTTTGAACATTGTGACTGTACGGAAGTATCGATTTTTCTTCGGAACGGTTTGTAATTAGTTGGTATCCGAGGGCTCCATGGACTCTCCAGCACATGATTTAAAATAGTTACTTTATTGGATGGACTCATGTCTATATCTTTATTAGTTTCATTACCAGGACTGTCTATGAAACCTTTGTTTCTATGTACCGGCTTCATGGGATCGAATAGTGACGGTGGGATTCTAAAATCCAATGACGGTACATAGAACCCTGATAGGAATTTGTCCTGTATCCCAAACTGAAGAAAAGGATTTGTTGGCACTGGAACGTGATTTGTTAATATGTCCATTGGTCCAGATTTTAAGTCGTGACCAAAAACATGTGTGTTAGTTTTCTCAGACGAACAAAGTTTTAGAGGAGATTGTTCATACATTGTTTTCTTAGTTTCACCGTAATCTGATTCATCTCGAGTGCATCGTTGCTGCTTACGAAGGTGAAATACTGTAGGCGAATGACTGATGTGTTCGTTCGCTTTTTTAAATGGATCTAAGAGAGAAGAGTCGCCGCCGAGATGTTTGCCATTTGCATTCGTCAAGAGCACAGATGCCGGAGCACGATAGCATTCATTTGATATTGCTAGCACGCCTGCCGTCAGACCGTTAACATTACCGTTTCGAGGATATGTCTCGATAAATAAATCACGTAGAAAAGAGTTCCTTTGTCGGTCTCCATAAGGCGATTTCAGATTTCCTAAAGAAGACTTACGCTCTCCACTTGGATTCTGACTACGTACCAATTTATCTTTACAATCTGCATTGCTTGCTGAATACTGTAATACATCCTGGATTTCTTTGCCTTTCTTTATATTAATATAGTGTTGATCGCTACAGCCTTCGTATCCCAAAGTAAACACACTGGTTTTCTTTAAATCCGTCTCCAAATGACCACTCAAATCGATTTTTTTAAACTCGTCCGGTAATTGCGGCAAATATTGATTGTCAACAAATATTTGCATTGCTTTTATAATGTCTAAGAACATTTCAATCTTTTCTTTTGGAACAACAACTTCGCCATTATAAATGTAATATAGGACTGATGACATAGCGTCGAGGTCGAAATCTGGTAAAGCGATAAAAATCGGAGACTCATCTGTGGGACAAGAAAGGAGAAGACGCTGTAAGAAAACATTGCCAATTAGTCATCGAAAGGCAAAGATGGTGTGAACTAAAGATTATGCGATTAGGAAGTCTTGACTTACTCTAAGAAAAGTACTAACGCTGGCGAGCACGGCGCGATGTGCGCTGAATGCGCGCCCGCCGCACAGGAGCTTCACATCGCACCACTCCCCGTGTGATAACCATTCACACATCTGAAATATAAACACAAAAGTAGGTAACCCTCGATGACACTCCCGCAACAGTCGATAATTCAACTAATTAGATGCACAGTAAATTTAAATTTACACACTGGTAATATATTAAAGTCATTGGTCATGTAAATACATAACGTAGCACAAAAAATCATGTAAAAGTGTTGTTTAAGAGAACTTTAAACATTTACAATAGAACAATCGAAACACACCTACACGATACTAGATAATAGTCTGTGAAATAACACCGTTACAAAATGGATTAGAGGAATAATTTTAAAATTTCTTTCACGCTATTCTCCAGTAATTTGGATGAGGCTTCAACTGTGATCCGGTGAGCACGGAACCAAACTCGGACGTCTGTAAACACGCTATGTTTGTGGCACACTTTTAATTCCTCGCCAATCGTACAAATAAGATACCTGTGCTCGGTATATGTGCTGTACCAGTGACATGCACGCCCAATGTCTCACATGCCAGTAAAGGCTAAATTAACCAAACACACCCGACCAGGTCAACGTTTTTAAAGTAGCACCACTCGTGAAAGTGTAGAGCAAATAGGTCTAATCAAACAAGAGGAAAATTGGAAGCATCATCTCAGTCTCACGAACCAATACACTTCCTACTACTTACATTTTCGAAATGACAGTTATACTTAACCTAAAACGTAGTTATTAAGTGTGCAATTGAATATTCAAATTACCGTGTAACAGTCGGAGTTAAATGCCCGCCCATTAATCAGTAGTGTGTCTGTTCTTAATCACATTACTTTTGTTTAATATTACCTACATGCAAAAAAATTTGCTAGACGAATTATCGCACATTAAGCGCTAGTACTAGGAGTGTGTGTTCCAGTAGGTGTGAGTTATTGATTTATCACATTACTGCTGGATAAAGTCGGCGGTTAGGTGATAACATCTGTCGCGCATAACTTTAAACACTAGACAAGCATGAATCACGTGCAGCTCCTTTCTTTATATATCATTAGACCGCAACGGGTTTAAGTATTCTTAAAAAAATAAACGCAAGTATCTTCGTAAAATATGAAGACTAGAGTGCTTCTACAATCTGTCCAAGCAGCTACTAAAAATAGAAAGCTAGGGTCAGATTATTTTCTAGTACATTACCAATTATCTACAGCATATTCCAGTAACCAGAATACACATGCTATCGTTGCTGACGTATTGAAGCGTTAATTACCGATTTGCCGATATCAATTACCTCGTGAAGGTATTTTAAGATTAATATTAATAACACCCGTGATCCGTGAAATATTGTAAGCCTCTTTCTTGTCCTACTTGTCATGAAGTGTATTGTTTACTTAACGGATACATCTTGCCAATATTTCAAACCTCAGTTTCAAGCTTACAATTTTATTTCATGTCTATGAATATCTACATTTTTACTTTATTTACTCAGACAAGTAAAAGTATTTATCACTACTAAATCGGTTATAGTCTCGCTAGAGAAATGCAATTCGGTTGCCTTACGTTTAAGCAAAATAGAATTGTAAAACTGCTGAAATAGAAGTCTGTTTAACGTTTAAAAAATAAAATTTTATTATAAAATTAAAATTTGTTTTTACAATTCTTAAATTGCTGACAATTAATTATTTTGTACTTACTGGAATAGTGATTTACTGCAGATTTTGGTATAAAAACTATCTTATGTCCTTTCTTGAGTTACAAACTATGTCTGGCCCAAATTTCACAGAAATCGGTTTATTAGTTTCAGCGCGGAAAAAAGACAGAAAGACAGAGAGAGTTACTTTCGCATTTATAATATTAGTTTGGATTGTTAAAATACATTCCTACAGTAAAAAAGTACAATTTATATACATAGGTGGATAGAGTCGACGGTCAGACACCGGTAGTAGATTAGTAATATTTTGCCTTTTTACCTCGTATTAAGATTTATTATTATTTGATACATTTAATTTCAATATAAAGTAATGAAACATTTCAGGCCCACATTCAATTTGACATTAAAAAAGTAGGTACCTCTATAAAAAAAACAATCCTCTATCGCTTATACCTACTTTTACTGTTCAAAAAGTTTTTGACGTACCTACCCACACAGACGCAACAGCTTCCTATAGGTACCTATGTATTTTTCTAACGTGTCAAGTAGTTTTTTCATCCTAGTTAGGTACCTACCCAGCACTATAATTGACGGGCAAACACTTTATACTAAGAAGTAGTTGAACTCAAAACGAAACATAGGTAGTTACAATGATTTTGCAATATTCCAAGCATAGATATCACCTACAGCATCTAAGTTCAATGTTCACTTTTAGATATCATCTTCACCTTCCTACTATTATTTTTTATTTAATGTTGGAAAATGGACGTTTGATTTTCAATCATATATATATTGGCTTAACAGGTTTCAATGAAATTAGACACAGAGATTATTTGAAGTCTGAAATAATATAAGCATTACGATTACTGAAAGCGCTTTCAAATTAAACGACGTTGGTAATACACCTATCTATACATATATGAATATGAGAATGTGTTGGTAAGCGCCTAACTCAATAACGTCTAGACCAATTTTGACAAACCTTTTTTGTTGTGTTTGTAAGGAGCAAGGAGTAAGGAGGTTTTATGGAGGAAAATAAAAAAATAGAGGTATAAATCGCGAAAGGAAAACGTGAAAATTGTTGGACATCCGTGTGAAGCAGGGACGGGCCGCTATACTTATACAAGTTATACAATATGTATTGATGTTTATACTTGGTCAACTACCTACTCAATATTATAAATATGCAATATTGATTTTTAACTTAAGTAAAGTTGCGTTAGTTATAAAGCCTACAATGTTTTAAAAAAGGAACAAATATAATTTAGCTGTGTTCTGGTTACTGTTGTAGGTGACGGTTTAAAGGAACATTAAATTAAAATTTTCTAAACTTATGTTCACAGTTACAATTATTTTTTTCGGTCTTCTTAAGAAGTCTCAAGTTTCGTACTCAGCAACTGTATAACTATTTATGCTATTGTTATACCTAAGCATGTGCATTTGAATGCAAAGAAACCAATCTAACATGTTGTATCACTTTTTTTTATTTAGCTAAGTTTTTATAGGTTCGTAATTGTCTAGCCTTTAAATCATAGCGCTTTTAATTGTTATGTATCTATATTTTACTCCCTTTATAAACTACCAAAAAAAAAATATTACCTATAAGATTTTTTATTTAAAGGTAATAAAATTAGAAGAAAAATACACTTACTGTGACGGTTTAAAGTCTCCAACATTTATTATACACTTATTAACTTCATGGTTCCGTAAAAAAGCGCGGGAAATTCACTGAGAGGGGACCGATCTTATGTCTGCGCGAGAGTCCTACACACTGACAGCGGTGTCCAACACGCATGCGCCGATGTGTGTTACCGCTGCCCATATACTACTGCCACTTTAATGGCGTGCGTTATTCCATACTTTACATGTACCAACAAAACCCGTATATTGGACTTTCATCAAAAATATTCGATTGCCTACTAACTAAATAATACTTAAATTTCTTGTTAGACAATTTATCTAACAAGTATTTTTCAGTTTTATTTCAAACTTGTTATGCAAATTCGTGCAAATGTGCGGGGACACATGGAACAAACAGTTATGGGTATTAATCATACAGATTTAGTTGTTACTTTGTCATTATTTTATACTTAGGCGGTTATTAAGTGCACAAATATTTTTCTGACATGAAAAGTGGGTGTGTAGGTATCAAAGAAAGTACCCACATACATTTACTATTAGACTCGCACTCGTATTGTTAGCAATCATGATTTTGAATTTTATTTCGGATTTATACTTTATCAGGAAGTGTTTTCTATGGCATTGCAATTCTTACCTAGGGATTTCTTGGCTTTACGAGACAATCGATGACGGAGCTTCTAGTAGGTCAGCTGGGGTTGCGTGTGCAAACGCAGTAACGGTAAATGTACCGCGGCCCCGGCCTGTAGTAGGAGAAGGAACAGGGTGGTTTTTATCAGTAAGGTTCTAACACTCTCAAGGAAGAAGTGTGAAGATTTTTTATGTGATAGACGGCAAACGAGCATGCGTATTACCTAATGGTGAGCAATCAGCGCAGCCCGCAACGAGAGAGAGAGAGAGAGCAAGAGGAGTTACGAGTACGTTATTGTCGACCTTTTGGGGATTAGGGATTTGGAGATTGAAGAATTGGGGAAGGACAAGTATTGGGCCTTAGGGTATGAAACCTCAAGCGAACGCGTTCGCACACCTATTTTTTTTTTCTTCTATTGTGTGTTAAATTACCACAATTAAAAGGTAGGTATGCCTGCTCTCAGTGATTGCGGTTCAAAGCTATGAGTGCTACTCGCGTACAAATTTAAACGATGAGATTAATGAAATAAGACTTATTTTAAACTGTTACAGGTACCTAATCCATTTTACAGCCTCGTTGCTCGAATGATCGCAAGCACGGATCGCTAGCTTCGGTAGTAACCGAACGTAAATTATTGAATTGGATTGCAGAGTGACCTAAGTATAATTTTCGAAATTCTCTAACCTAGTTAACAAGCCTGATATGGTGAGTATATGATAAGTGACTTATTTTTTGTCTGGTACACAGCCTACCAGACCTCGTAAAGTAAGGAAGTAGGTACCAACATTAAATAATACCTAAAAAAAGCACTTACGAGTATGATATTCAATCACATGTTTAAATGAAAGTCACGAAAGCACGGTCATCTAATATCCTCGTTCTCTCAGTAAAAAATAAATATGAGTGCTAATTGCCGTTTTGAATGTGGTCCTTAATAGGCCGTTTCCAGCCACAGAGCTTCACGTTAACTTGTAATTGTAACTTTAGTGTGCAATTAAAGAATTAAATACCGCGGCAAGTTACATAGTTATAAGTTCGTAGAATTATATTTTCGGCTGATTAAGTGTACGAAGGTAAAGTTCCTTCCTACATACAGACGGCGGAATGATATAATCTAAATTAGAAAGGCTATTTCGGCTGTGACCCGCGTGGCCTACCTGGCTTTTTCACGTTCCTTGCGTGCCTACTTAAGAATAATTTTCTTTTATAAGTATAATACCTAACTACCGCTATTGCGCCGTGGTGGTTCAACAAATGTTCGGGCTCCGAATATAATGACAGTGGCCACTGGGAGTGTGATAGATGCAAGGTTTGAATTCTGAGTTTCTTTGTAAAGATTTTTTCTTTGTAATGGCAAAATAGATACCTAAATATCTCGATTTTTTACCAAGACGAATAAGAATAAACGTCAACAAGGGTTCATTGTCACATAGGTACCGAAACCGATTAGGTACCTACCATTGTAATTGAGCACTAATCTAAAACTCCGTTGGGAGTTTAAAACACTTTCAATTTTCACATTTATGCATATATAATTTCGGAAGGCCGACGTATATCTTATTTAAAATGCGTAGTTTTTATTAGATATAGCGACGGACGAGTTGACAAGCAAACGATCAAAAAGGATCACCTGAAGGCAGGCGTTGGCGCCTTTTATAGACGATAGACGCCCGCATCGCAAACGTGTCGCCAATGTTTTGAGTAGGGAGATTGGACTTCCGATACCCTTACTCAAACAGCTACCTAATCATAATGGTTTTTTTTTGTCAGGGGAAAATCATTAAATGGCATCTTCCGCCTAGGGTAAGGCGAGAGATTATCAGTCTTTTACTGACTAAAAACCCCCCCGTTCCTTCTCTTGGTCTGGGCCGAGGCCATGGTGCCTCATTGCGCTTGCTCCGCAACCCCGGCTGAACATCAGCCCCATAGGGCCTCGTCTGTGGTGATCTATTGGCTACGCACCGCGTACGTTCGGGTATGGTTTTAGTCGGGCAGCGAGATACCCTTACTCGCGCTTACGGTGGCTGGAGATCGTCTCTCGATGCCCGACGCCCGAAGTGTCGCCTACTGCGGCGGCTGGGGCGTGAGGAGAAGGGTAGCTCCCTCACGCTGGTCGCCTCCTTCTTTGCGAGCATAACTGCTTCACAGAAAGAGGAGACGGCATCGCACTTCCTCTCGCTCCGCACCATGGCCTCGACTAAGACTGGGCGCGAGAGGTCACCGCCACCGATCTCTTCCCTGAGGTCAAGGCGGTGCTCAACCCAAGCAGGGCACACCGCCACCATACCGTAAACCTAATTTTTTACTTAAATATTCTGTAAAAAAAGGTAGTCCAGGTTTTTTAAATAGATACCCATATCATTATACAAAATAAAATTATAATTTAGCACAAAATAATCACAGTTTTATTAAATGTAAACAAAATAAAAAATATAGAAGTATACCATTCTATTACATACAGCTTTGTTTAACAAGTTTCATCAAAAATATTGAAATCCATATAGTCAAGTGAATCACTATCTTTAATACAAGATACAAAATAATTACCATCTGTTGAATTAGGGTCATATTTATTGCAGATACAGTAACACACACTTTTGCCACAACCCCTACATTTGGTGGAATGCTTAAGAGTAATTTCATCAGCAAACTCACACTCAACAAACTTGTCTAAATTATACTTAAAATCTAATAAATCATTTTCAATTAAATTAATTAAATTATCATTTAAAAAGTCATCAACACTTTCAAATGTACTTAAATGATTGAACACTTGTTTTTGTTGTTTGGTCAACACTTTTTCTAGCATAAATACTAAATGGTGATGGTAACACTGAAAAGTTATTTTGTCACTTTCTTTATCTTTCATATCTTTCCACATTTTAACACAGCTTAATGGAGTCTTTGTTGTTCCACTGAAGAGTCCTGGATTTGTGAGGATACCACTGGCAGCCATAACACCTTGGCAGTTGACCTGTCTGTAGAGGTCATCAGCATCATCCAATGTCTTAATACCACCATTAGCAACTATAGGTATTTGCACAGATTCAACTACATCTCGCAAAGCTATAGTATCCACTTTATCACCACTTTTCTGAGTAGGTGTCCGACCATGAACAGTCAAAAAGCTTACTCCACACTTCTCTAGCTTTTGGCACATATCAATAGTGCGATTTAACTCTTTTAATATCCTTATCTTTACAGATACACTAAAGTTATTAGGCAGATTATTTCTGATACCTTTAACTAAGTCATGTATAAGTTCTGGTTTAGATAACAGGGCACAACCATAACCATCTTTCATGGCCCATTTTTGTGGACAACCGCAGTTTAAGTCAACTCCGTCTGAATACCCATAAACTAGTCTGGAAGCATCCACAAAATCATCTCGATTATTGGCGGCAAACTGCACAATCAAAGGAGTATCGGTAACAGTTGTTGAAAACTCATTGCAGCGAGCTTTAGAGTTCTGACAGAAAGAGTCCGCTAATATCATCGGTGTGAAGCATAAATCAACTCCATAGCTGTAACAAATATATTTTTATTATTTGTAACTTATAGAAAACAATTTTTCCGATCATGAATCATTTTTTTAACTAGCCAACTCGTAACTTTATTAAACTTATTAAATTAAAGATATAATTATGAGTATGATTTACCAGATAAATAATAAACTTACTTTTTAACAAGTGTTCTGAATTGTACTTTACTGTACCTGACCATAGGAGCACAAACTTTTATATAAGTGTCGTTCGTTTTAGCTTCGCTAAACAAATCCATGATATTAGTTCTATTCTTCATGTTAATGTGTTGCAGCACAATACTTCAAAACAGATATCCGCAAATGCAAGTATTGCAAGTTTATTTCTTTAAATAAACACAAGTATAACCTTAAAATGTTTACTGACATTATGTGTGTTTTGACAAGTGTCAAAATTGACATTCAAATTATCGTTCAAAACATGAAACATGAAAGAGGAGAAAAACGTGGAAGAACATAAAACCACAGAAAAATAACGTCATGCTGACAATAATGTTTGAGTGGGAGTATGAAATAGATTTCTATAGTAAAATGATCAAACACGAATATACAGACTTTTGTACATGAAGTTTTAATCAGTTACTGTTGAGGTTTATTATTTCGCTTAACACGTTTTGTTTTGAGATGAACTATGTCAATTTGTCAAGATTGTCAATGTCAGAATTGTAGGTCGTGCGTGATAGGCGAGACATTACAAAGCGGTGAACTCAAAAAATAAGAAAAACATTAAGAATAATGTAAAGCAATGGATTCAGTGGAAAAAGAAGAACGTCTTCAGCGCATTAAAGTTAAGTTTAAGAGAGTAAATGCACAATATTATGTAATAGACCTAACATAACCTTGTCTAACTCAATATTGTTAACTATATCAACACAAGTTTATGCCTACACTGCATCGTATAAAAACTATATGTAATAAAATATTGTATGTATCTATAAAAAATATTATATACCTCCTATAAATTTTGAGTTTATTTAGTGTAAAGATAATCAGCACCCTAAATAAACTTTATTTAAATGTGTATGTTATATATTTGTATTTTCTTTAGCTGGTGCATTTTTAGCAACAGTAGCTGGAATCTCGGCATTCATTGGCTTTGGTGCTACACTGTCAACAGCAAAGAAAACTGATCCTAAATATTTCAGCAAGGGTATGTTTCATTTTTTCTTGCATTCAAATCAAATTATATTTATTGAACTTGTAATATTCGGATATAATATTTATAGGCTTACATGGCAGTCCAGAATTAGCAGATGCAGGTGCTATCCTCGCCTTAAGAGCCCTTGGATGGGGCACAGTTTATGCCATTGCAGGCACTTCATGTCTGTGTTATGGCATTTGGAAGTTATCTGGTGCAAAAGATGTAAGATTTACAGAACACTTTTCACAAACAAAATAACAAATTATGTTCTGAATGAGTAATTTGTTTTATCAATATATTGTTTTTCTATTTTTCTTTCCAGTTGAAGGACTTTAGAGTGAAAATGGGTAACATGTTACCAGTGTTACCAAAGAACAATCCGCCTAAATCTAGAACAGAATTTACTGGTCTAAATGATTTGATGACATACCTTGCAGAAGAATATGGTAAACCTGCTAAAGAAAAGTAATAGTAATTTGTTATAATTATAAGTTTATTTACATAGTTTTTAGTGTATTATAATTTTTAACTTGACAAATCTTGTTTTATAATTATTTCCTCTTTATATGCTGGTCCTTCAGAACAGCTTGATTTACAGGTGTACACTACAAGTACACCCCAGTCAATGCTGTTTACTTCTATTCCAACACCAATAAAGTTTAGGAGTTGTGGCATTATCTGTAATAAATCATTGAAATCAGTGTAAAAATAATTTGAATATTATATTTCAACATTTTAAATCATACTAAATTCATAGAAGAAAAGTTTTTATATAGTCAACTTACTTGGAATTCAAATTGTCTTTCCTCATTGCAATACTGACAGTTGGGAACATTAACAATGCTGTTACCAGAATTCCCAGTAATCCATAGAGGATGTCCTCCTCTATCATACCTCAATACTTGGTCTGGATGCCTTGCTACTCTCTTACTGAATTTGTTAAACACTTTATCTTCAGGCATTGTTTTAGTGTATTGTTCCAGTTCATCTTCACTCACATTGCTCAGTGTGCCAGCTTTTTTCTCCTGCATCAACTTTTGCAACTTTTCCATTTCTTCATTTATATTCACATCTTTAGGGTCTTCCTAAAAATAATTATTAGATATTTGATTAGTTTAACTTCAGTAACAATATTTTTTCCCATTTGGATAATGAACACTTACCTCATCCTCTTCATCAACTATAAGTTCCCATTCCTTGAATAGTACTGATTTCCCAGACTCTGTTACTATAAAATTATTTGGCTTGACATCAGCAGTCTATGAAACATACAATAATATTATCATGCAGAAATTAAAACAAATACTTATTATCATTAATTGCAATGACAGTCACCTGTAATTCAGGACAGATTTGTTTATGACCTTTTTGCCAGTCTAAAATTTGATGTTTACGACTGCAATAGTATGTTTTCTTGCATTTGGAACAATGTGAAGGTCCTTTACAACCACAGAGGTTGCATAAGCGAGGCCACTTGTCCATTGGAAAGTCCTGTGAAAAATTAAAATTATAATTAAAAAAAAATTCTTATCCGATATGCCACTGTGTTAAACGATTTACTGTGTTTGTGATTAATAATTTTTATTAAAAATGTAAATAAACATACTTCACTTTCTATCTCTTCATATGGTTCGAAAGAGTAAAAATCATTCTTCCTTGGAAGCTGGCATCGCAATACTTTTAAGTTATCAGAACTATTTATTTGACAACAAGATCCATTTCTGCATATAAACAAAAATATAGTCCTGTGAAAAGCATCATCGGATTCCTCATACGGAGCGTAAATCTGTAATTTTTATAAATAATGAGTATTATACATAACCTGTTGTTTACTAGGCCATAGGTTTCAAGAATCTATCTCAAAAATACTACTTTCATAAAGACAAAAAATTTACCTGACATAAAAACACCAAAGGTTCGTCGCATTTTTTACAACTTAATTCGTTAGGGCTCGGTAGATCTTGTAAATTCAACCATGCTGGTTTCCCACCTACTTTGCTGGGAAAATACTTAGGATGTAAAAGCCAGTTGCTCTTTTCTTCTAAGAAACCAATATCTATTTTGTTATTAGAAGCCATGAGTATTTTGAATTATTATTTCAGTAAATTCAAGTAAGTAAACAGTAGCAAACTATCAATTTCTGAGGAATCAACCCAGTCTACAACACCAACCAGCCAACCACTTGCGACTCACTGACAGTTCATTTATATGACGTGACATTGACAGTAACAATGACGTTTCGACTGTCTCTAAGCACCACAGACTACAATATACTGACTTTGAGCTCAGACCATTGACATAGGAAATATATCTCAATGGCTCAGACACAGCACACACAGGTACATGTAAAAGTTAAAAATATAGTCCTAAATTAAATTAAACCTTACACAGAAAGAAACAATTTTAATAAAAACAAAATTATCTTATAAGGTATCGTAATAGTTGGGCGCTTAATAAAATAATAATTGTCTTATCTTTCTTTTTAAAGAAACATTGCAGTTTAATTAAGGTTTTCTTCTGTCTGTGATCATTTCATACGTGGGTACGTTGTATTGGCAAATATACAATTTCACTAACAAAAACACCCATAAGTAATTTTGTGGATCGATTTGTTATCCCTCTAACTCAATCGTTTTTCGGTGAGAACTGTGAACGATCAGACGTATCGTACACTGATCGTTCGCTGCGTCCTATTAAAGATACGAATACAACAATTAACACGGACATCAGATAACATTGTTAAATAACAATTTATTGATTTTTGCACAAACACAAATCATATTTATGTACTAACTGTACTGTTCGATTTTGAGGAAGTTGCGTATAAAGAACAAGTAGGTAAACTGCCTATTGAATATCGAATGCCGCGTAACGGTTTGATTCTTGGGCCTGGCAATGTAGTATGTAGAAACTAGGGCTGTGAAGGACGCGTTCTAAGATATTTGGCAATTACTGTAACTGAACATTTCGGAATGCAAAATGCTAGTTACCAGACTAAACTTAAGAAATGTCTGACCTTCGTAACGAAAAGCACTAGTTGCCGGAATAACCAACTGATTGTGGGAGAGCCAAGCTTCGGCACGAGAGGGTCGGCTCCAGGGCCTCACAGAAAACCGGTATGAAACTACAGCTATGTTGTGTTTCACCGTGTGAGTTAAGTCTCCTCAATCCCTCCGGTATTGGGGGTTCCTGAGGCGATGCCGATGGTTTTCCATCAGGTAATCCATCTGCTAGTTTGCTTTACCATCCTATCATATAAAAAACTACCTAAGTGGAAGTGTAAAAATAACATCCAGTTTTTTTTATTTTATTTATTTGGAAATTTTCATTATTTGGAACACTGCGCAGTGATCAAATTTCTTGTACAATAAGTATATATTTGCCGAAAGAGATTTTTAATTTAATAAGATGTCACCAGTTCTTCAGGCTTCTGAGAGCCCTTGTCCGATGGTGAAACCAAAGAGTATATAAACACTATGTTCTAAGTTAAACGATGGGTTCGGCTGTTTCAACGAGGTCAAGAGAGCTGTAAAGACGACCCTCGTCCAGGCCGAGTAATATTAACCGAAAAAATTATTGAAAATGTCAAAAAATTAGTACAATACGTCGTACGCCTGACGAGTATTGATGATATTAAAAAAGGGTAAACGGCACAAAAGCAGTGCAAAACCGAAACTTGGTACAAATAAATTTTATCGGAGAAGTTAGCTAATTTTATTGATTGATTGGGTATGAATAAGAATGGATAGTATTTTGTCTATGCAAAATTGCGTCAGGCTCGTGAAACAACCAACTATAAACAGAATAGACTGCACTAATACTATAGAGCTGGAGTTTGTTTGTTTGAACGTGCTAATCTCCATAACAGTTGGTTCGAATTCAATAATTCGAGGTAGTCTTTAGAACATCACGCTACGATTTGTACGAGCGAGTGAAACCGTTCGAGAGAAGCTACCTAGCATACTATTACATAGACGTGGAAGTTAGATCACAAAGTGCAATATTTTTTAGAATATTTGGAATCCTTTTTGGAATTTATTTTCTTGTAAATAGTAGGTATGTATTCGCAAAAACGTTATCATTAGAGCCTACTAAATTGCGCTTTGCCTACTTAATTCGGTCCGACAGGTATCAGGTTATGCATGGGTTCTTCTGCGACGAGGACGTTAAAATTATATTACTAGTTCCACTCCGACCTTTTTTGCGAACTTGTTTGGCATTACTACAGATACTCATGATAGGTCGCATGTTTAGTACGAAACGTCGGCCATGATAAAAAATAATAGGGGGAGTTTGTGTAAGGTCAAACTACCAATAAACATTGCAATTTTTAATGAATTTCGTTTAATTTTTTCGTCTAAGAATTACTAAATAACTTTACTTAAATAAAAAAAATTACAAAACGAAAGATAAAGTCACATTTTATTTTCTTTCAGTTTTGTATTTCCTGAAGCTATTTTACATTTATTTTTACAATATAAAATATGTATATTAAGTATTAAATACATATTGTTAATAGTATTAATTACTAATATTTACAAGTCCATAAAACAACTATACATTTTATTAAATTAATAATAATTTAATAGACATGGTATATGGACAGGCAACAAGTTTCAACATTCATTCTTTTTAAATTTTTTACTTGTTTCATTCATCACATCATCAAGTTTATTTACCCTTCTCGACTTTAGGAATGAATGACTGTCACTTTCACCAATGTTTTGTCGAATACAGTTCAAATTGGATACATTTTGATTATGTACACTATGTTTTTTATCACCCAAAGTTTTATTATTCTTATTAACTATTAAAGTATTTTGAATGTCTTTAACCAAGTCACTTGTATGTAACTTAATAGGAATCAATATTTGATTTTCGCTATCACCTTTCTTGATAAACTCTTGTTTTATTTGGACCATAGACCTATTTTCTGCATCACTTGAAAGTCTAATGGTCTTCCGCAAGTGTATGGTATCGGAAGAGTCCGCATAGTTACGCTTCACTACTATGTCACCAGTTGGCATTTGTTTTACAAATGTAAGTGTTGGTGTTTCAGACTCCTTCCCTTCAGGTTTTTGTAATTTGCTTGTATTGCCTTTATCGCCATCCGAACCTTCTTCTTGTTCTTCAGTTTCAATCAATTTACCTGAAACATAGAGTAGAAATATTAATGATCTAAAGATAATCTTATTTATTTTTCAAGTTAAAACTATGTAAAAAATATAATCATACCATTTAAAGTAGGGAATGTAATATCAGGCAAAGCCAAATGCGAGTCTGGATTATATTTGTGCATCAATGTTTTCAATAAAATTGAGATCTCTTCACGTTTTCGAGTTACCACTATTTCATCAAACCAATTAGCTAATTGTTTTATCGGTAATGTGTAGTCTAATATAGGGTCCTGCAATAAAACAAACATATGTTTAGCAAAGGTTCCAAACATAGAAAGTATCATTAATCATTATTTCACTCTTTCAGTACATACCTTAAAAAACTGTTCAACATACTGCAACAAGTATAGACCACAATCAGTAAAGTTATTTTGTTGTGGAATTTTAGGGCAACTTCCTTTGATGTTATCCTTATTAAATATTTTATTTTGCGAGACCTGTAATATAGATATCTGTGTTAGTAACTTATTAAAACTCTAATAAAGTACAAATCAATATGTATTTATTATTTTGATACTTACTTTAGCTTGATATTCACAAGTAAGATAATCTCTTAAAGTGGCTACAACTCTAGATCTAGATGCTCCAGCTAATGAATCGAATATAAGTATACATGGCCTGGAAAAACAAATAAAAACAATTAGGTAATTTCAAGTTTTGAATGTAGGCAAGATAATATACACAAAGTCAGTAAATATATTTTAGAATTTAAGACAATAGCTATATATATTTTTAGGTGTTAAAACACACCTAATTATAGAATCTTTCCCAGGTTGATTTTGATTTACAGATGTGTCCAATGCTGATCTGGGAATGGAAGAAAATCCTGAATATAGCACCACACTAAATTGTATCACTTCATTTGAAATTAACAAGTTTAACTTACTGTTTTACAGGTTCTGATTTTCTATTTGGTTGAATTTCTATTTTCTTTTCCACAGGATTTTTCTCTGATTCATCTTCCTCTGAATCACACTGCATATCCAAATCACTTTCCTGCAAATTTATATGTTGTTGATATAAACTAAAAAGAAAATGTAGATTGATAATTGTATTGACTGAAATTACAGAAAGTTTACCTCCGCTTCAGCCTCATCTCGCTCACTAAGATTATCCGAGTCACAACTTAATGTAAGTTGTTCCTGTTTATTTAATGGTGTTATTGTTGTATTACCAATTTGCATAGATGATCTACGTTCTGAAATACAGAAATAAAAAATATATCTAGAGCACCAAAGATATAATATAATGTATAATCATCTCCTTTTTATGATAAGCTTTTTATTTTACCTTTTCTTTTTATCTCTTGCGGGGTTACAAGTCTATTATCAATTGTACTCCGACATCCATCTAAGCTTGGATAACAGATAATAGCAACAAACCAATGACAATTTTCGTTAATAGGAACCACAATAAAATCTTTTTCAAAAATGTTGACATTCTTTGTCCATGTTTTGACTCTTGCATGCCGTTTTTGGGCTGGTGTTAAATTACTATCCCATTCGTGAGGATTAGAACTTCTATTCACTTTACTTGGTTTAGTAGTAAGCCTTTTATAGAAAAATGTGCTAAAAATATGAGTCTTTTCTCTCTGAATGTTCGTTAAAACATCATGAACTAAATGTTTCAAATAAAAATCAATGATAACATCATTTAAAAACTGGTCTTGGGCTAGGCACATGTAGTCTTCGGTGTTAATGGGTATACCACCTTTACCAGGTGGGTAAATTAAAATTTGTCTTATTTCTGCAGGATTGGAACTGTAAACAGAACGAAAACATTGTTACATTCATATACAATGTTTTTTAATTGTATGTTATTATGGCATAATATAATGACTTAGTCACACAATTTTGTGACCAGCATTATGTTTGCCATTTATAACTGTAATTTAAAATTCATTTTGAAAGTTGTAACACTATAGAACTAAAATACACATAAACATGTAATACAAAGTAAATGAATTCCTTGGTGGTATAT